GGGGGAGTCATTTGGGGGAGTTTTGATAGCTTCAGTGGGAGTGAAAAATCCTGACTGCGTTGGCAATTGAGGCTGGTCGTTGCCGACAGCCGGCTTTTGCTTGGGACTGCCACCTTTGAGCAGCTCATCCAACTTGGCCTTTGCTTCTTGCGCCAACACTGTGGGCAATATTGGGAGTGGCAATATTGAAGTGAGGCACGCTAGTGGTAGCAGCTGGCTCGGCATTCAGGGCGGATGCTCTCGGAACGGAGGCATGCTGCGCTTTGGCAACATGCTTTAACTGCTCCTGAAGATCATCGATTTGGTCCTGAAGGCTAAGGTTCTGAGCCGCTGCCTCATTGATCTTGTCGGCCATCTCCTTCTTGTAGTTCTCGAACTCGGTCCTCAAACTGATGAACCTGGCCTGATCAATTGCAGCCTGATCTTCATATTGCTTCTTTGTGGCAGCTATGGCATTCTTTGCATGTTCAACTGTCTGTGCATAAGAAGCTTCGAATTCACTAGTGATACGTTGCCTTTCCTCTGCAATTTTCTGATCATGCTTTGTGTTTGCCTCTGCCTTTACATCCTCTATTCTTTTGTCATTCGATGCCTGAACCTGATTCAACCTGACCTCCATCTCGTCGCCTCGTTTCCTCTCCTCGTTGACGGCACTAATGGCCTTACCTTCAATCTCCTGCAGCCTTTGCTCATACTCCTGCTCCTGCATTACGAGTCTACTTGACCATTCGTTTCGAATTGAGTCAACTACTCCATACATTATCTGAAGGTGCCTCTGTTCAGCTTCCCTCATGACTTGCAGGGTATTCCCACTAGTAATCTGGGACAGGTTGTTTTGTATGAAGGTAAAGTACGCGACAACGGGTTGGAACATTGTTTCGTCATCCATCGGCTCGGGGTTGCCCCCGGCCACATTGGGCACAGCGACAGCCGATGGACCTGACCCTGGAACGGCGAGAGGATGGTCAATTGGGGTCCCCATAGCAAAGTAGTGAGACTACGGCTGATAACCTGTATTTTACCAGGTCAGCCAACAATATAGTACAATTACTATATGGGGGCGCAACAAACCGGTAAGCACTCAGCTCTTTTGAACCAACGCTACAGAGTAGATCGATGATATATACACTACATGGTTTTACTGCAGGAGTTTTTACAGAAAACAAACAATTGTATGGATCCACTTGGTGATCTTGGTGGCATTCAGACTTTGGCCTGAGGCATCTGTCCAAGAAAGTAGATCCTAGTGGTGGTGTAGACCTTGGCCAAGCAAAAAAAAACAAAACACTCAGCACAGCCGGCACGGGCACCGTTGCATCAACTGCGGTCAAAAGGCTGTTGGCATGGCAGCTTTCAGCAGCAGCGCCGCATACAGCCGCCAGTTCAAGGCGCGAAAAGATGGAACCACACACCCACTCCTCCTGCGCGACAACATCCACTTCAGACTGCATGATAAGAGGACCTGAGAAAGACATGGCATCCTTCCAAGCCAACAAAAGATGTTCGGCCATCGTTGCACCCTGACCTTTGGCCATTTGCCACGCGGTGGCCCCAGACAGCTCCGAGGATTGCCACAGATGCCCCAGTTCTGCAGGAATGGCCTATCAAGTGATGGATCTGGTGCCAACTAAGAAAGCTCATCCGGGCGGTTCCAACAAATCAAAACTCATCAAAATCAAATGATCCAAATGAACTGCCGATCATGACAAATCGGTCAGTTCTCCAGCAGCGTTTCGTCACCAGTCGACTTTGCCTTTTGTTTGTGGATCTGCTGCAACTCGAGGCATCGGTTTTGCAAACGCAGGCTGCAGCTGCCACGGCTGATACCTATGCGAGCACTGTCAATGAGTCAATGGCACTTTGCAAGCCACCCCAACTGTAGGATACGATAAGCACAATGATCTACCAAATGCCGCAACTCACACAGATCAACACGCGAAGAACCCAGAGGTGAGGATGGCAAATATCTGCAAAGAAATTTCTGGGAAGATCGAAAAAACATTCCCTTTGAACCTGAGACTCGAACACTGCACGCGCGCCCAATGACATCATTGTGGGTGCGACCGTATGACGCCGCACTTGATCCACATATTGTCACAATTATTATTCACATCCATTTGAGTTGCAAACACAATTTCCCAAATCAACATGACCGAAAAAATCTGAAAGTCCATAAGTCGATAAGCTGCCACTTTCTTTTCCCGCCAGAAGATCTCTTGAGAAGCGCCACTCGAATTGGCTCGAATGAAGTTTCCAAGCGAATTCTGTTCGGGCTGCAGATTGAGGTCAAACTGTTTAGGGTCTGTGATTTTGACGCCAGCGGCAATACCCAAAGAAGCGAAGAGCTGCACCCACCACAATGCCTGACCCAAATCGGCACATCACACTATGGATTGATGGACTAAACACGCCCAAGCGATACAGGAGGAAGGCCGATCCATAGACGCCCAAATTGGTGCAAACGGAGATCCAAGCCAGCTGGTTTGTTAGCCCAAGGCCATAGAAGATTGAATCCAAGAGGCCAGCAAACATATAGACAAAATAGAATGGTAGAAGCCAGTTGGCGATTTCCAGTGCCATCTGCGGCTTTTCCACATTCAAAACCACTTGAAAGAAGACTTTCCACCCAGGCAGTGTCACCAGCCAGACAACAAAAAGCAGCAGTGAGAGCAGCAAGTACGCTGGTAAGATCTGTTTATGTGCTGCCGGCAACCTGGCCCGAATTGAAACCTCTTGTTTCAGCAGTTCAGCCAAGGGCAGAAATAGTAGCAGGAGCCAGTTCCAAATGAAGCTATTGGCTATCCAATAGTTGCCAGACTGGTGCAAGACATTCACCATTCTGGCCACAAAAATCACATAGCTCAGATTTCGAATCAGGGATGCAAGCGCGGCCCAGCGGCCCACCCGCCACCACGAAAGAAGCCATGTCCAAGTTAAAGACTCCTGTTCTGCTGCAGGAAGGTATTGGTAGGCCAGCATCAAAAGAAGTGCGTAGGTGCCTCGGGCAATGACAACCCGCATCAGATGCACACTCCCGTACCCAGAAAGCGCAACGGCAAATATATGTCCTATGTTAATTAATGCCTATACTATCGTGCCAACCGAAACCCTCAAAAAAACAAGTGGTGACAGGATTGGCCCAAGAGGCCCCACAAATCAAGAACGCTCACCACTTGGGACATCTTGGGACATCTTGGGACTGTATTTCTGATGTCTTCCACAACAAACGTGCCAGGATATGCCAGGATACAAATGTTGGACCAGGCCACTCCGATGACTCCAACACGGAGTGAGCCAGGCAGATCACTAACAAAGATATAATCGAAGAACACGGTCAGCAGGGCTTGCAAGAGGGTCATCAACAAAATCACTTTGTCACGCTTCAGCAGTACGAAAATCACATGGGTGAAGCGCTCTAAGCCCTGAATCACTGCAGCGACCATCTCCCAGCGGATGTATTTCACTGTATCATCCCGCAGGTCGTGCCGAGAAGCCTCAATCTTAGACTCTGGAAGTTGCAGTGACGCTTCAAGCACTTACTGTCTTCGGTTCATCATCAACTATGACAGTTCTGATGGTGCGTCTGCTACTTTGAATCTGCTTTCTTGCGTTACAATAAAAGAGGCCGGCACCATGCCATCAACCAAAGGTTCGGCAAACACCACGACAATAGTGGAGAAGCTGCCATAAAAAACCAAAGTCACCAAGAGCCCTGTTCGCACCTCATGATGGACAGGAGTCAATGCACTTAGCACATGACTTGGGAAACCCCTAGCACTACTTCCTCGAATCACCAAAAAAGAATAAAATAAAAACACGGTTTCATCCTTGTCCAATGTCGTATTACACCTAGATTCCTAGATGCTCGCAACAAGCAACTCTTTCTGCCGAGCTCAAGACCTTGTTCCAGGTGGCAACGCCTTGACCGATTGTTTCCTTGACACACGCAACCTTCACATCAGTTCCTCTGCACTGACTTCAAAACAAACTCTGACTTCAAGTCATCTAAGGCTTCTAAGGCTTCTAAGGCTCTCCAATACAGGGATACAAAGGAACCTGAGCCACCGCAGCTCAGGGCAGACCACCAAAACTGGGCTCTAAACTCCACGACTGCTGCTCTGATTCGGTTCATCAAGCCAACGAGCTGACAAGAAGCAATCAATGCCTCCTCCATGACCTTCAAAATATGGGGATCGGCAGTCATTGGTATGTTCATCAAGTTGGGATAAAACCGAATCAGCGAACTGCTGCTGAGTATCATGCTTGTCATCGAGTCATAAAACCCCGAACCCCCTTGAAGGCTGCTTTCTGACATTGAAGCCACGCCTCCAGTATCAGGCTCACCCAATAAAGTTGTGAGGCAATGTCCACAGCACTGGCCTGCAATGCGCACCCGTACAGTGTCTGGTGGTAGAAAGTTGTCCCCACAATCCAGCAAACACCCCAAAGAGGGCTGGAAACAAATTTCAATAAGCTCTTCACAGCAAGAGAAAGTAAATCGATCTCTACATTATGGTCAGCAGTTACACGTGGACGTTGAGGCTTTGGCCTCAGGCATCTGTCCAAGAAAGTAGATCCTAGTGGTGGTGTAGACCTTGGCCGAGCAAAAAACGAAACACTCAGCACAGCCGGCACGGGCACCGTTGCATCAACTGCGGTCAAAAGGCTGTTGGCATGGCAGCTTTCAGCAGCAGCGCCGCATACAGCCGCCAGTTCAAGGCGCGAAAGGACTGAGCCACACGCCCACTCCTCCTGCACAACATCCACTTCAGACATGATGGGAGACCCCAAAGGAAAAAATGAAAGAAAACAGAAACATTGAATCCTCATCAATTCTCATCACACAGCGGTCGCTGGTAAGACCCGCACTCAGGCCTTGGCACCTCCAAGCGCTCACAAGACTCCTACGCGTGGCTATAACTCGCCCAGCGGTTTCGTTTGTGTAATGAGACACATGACTTTTATGATTGTTATTATATAAGTGTACTAGGACACCGTCTGTTTCTTTGTAGAAAACTGTCTTTGGAAACCACTGCGCAAAGCCCGAAGGCTCTGGGCCACTCCAGTGAAGATCGCAGCACACCAACTTGAACTAGTCCTGAAACAGTCACTAGCAACTCATCTCAAGTGGCAAATTTGAAACGCAATGGCTGTGCCCAGTAGTTCCATGTCCTCGCAGCCCCTCGTGGCCTTTTGGATACATGAAATGCATAGTCTGCGACAAGACATATTGATTCCAAGTTGTTCCAAGTTGTTCCAAGGCCTAAGAACTTGGACACTTCTTCACAAATTCTTGCGAGCCGTAATAGAAATGTTCTTGGCCTCCTTCTTGCCACCACAAAGCAGTTTCCAGAAAGTCTGGTTTGTTGGGGGCCATACCTTCCATGAACCAAGTTGCAAGGGCATACAGAATCACATCGTGTGTGCACACCAAAATCATTTCCAAAGGTTTCAATGAAGCACCCACATTTGGATCATTTGGCCGACGTTTCACTGTCAATGATGTGTTCCTGAGTTTTTGCACGGCTTCATCCAATGACAAGTATCCAGTGATCCGCTCACCAGAGGACAAGCGTTCCATGATTGACTGCCAACCAATAGCCCTCATCTCATCTGCTGCTTCCTTCTCCTCTCTAGGTCTGTGAGTGGCGTTCATCCAGGCGGCTTCGGTCTTCACAGTCTTCACAGAGTGGCCCGGGTGACCTGGGTTGGATGCTTCTTGAACGGCCAACATCGTGTCGATGCATCTCGGTGCTTCGCTGCTAAGAAGCTCCACCCACTCAACATTGGCTGCATCCAGGCCTCGAGTTTGCAACTGTTTTCCCAACTCCTGCGCTTGCCGCCGACCCACTTCTGTCAAACTTGCTTCCTGCTGCAACCGCCAGAAAATTTCATCTGGAAGGAAAGCATTTTTCTCAACAATTTCCTTGTGACCATGGCGAAAAATCACCACGACCCTTTGGATTCTTGTATCTTCTCTCAAAACCTCGAGTTTCTCCAAAGAGGACATAGAAGCGGGACCTAACTTGTCCTGAACGTAAGCCCTGCAATCGCTGCCTCCAATCTTTCTCTGAGACCATGACGGGTCTCCAACAAAAATGCGAGGCAGTTGAATCCAGGCAAAAATGCAAGCTGAAACGAACCATCGAAAGTATTTGCAGCGGCTGATTATTGCCATCCGGTGCTGCAAAAGAAAACTCAGATTTGTCAGTTTTCACCGATCACTACATCACCAATCATGCGGCCGAAAAACTTCAGATATTCCAGAATTGTGTGCATGGGTGTTCCTAGTTTCTGTATTTTTTCTGCCAGAAGTGGTGCTCAACATGTCGTCATAGGTAACCAGCCTCGACAGAAAAGAATGTTTTACATATCGACATGCAACATTGCATTACGGAATTGTTGGAATAGCACCCTTATCACATCCCCACAGTCCTCTTGACAAAAGGCATCTTGCATGACCTGCCAACAAGGCTGTGTCTTTGCAATTCCAAATCTGTCATCCTCTTCAGCGAAACGCCAACACAATCCTACACGGGTTCCGAAATAACCCAGAATGGTCTCAACTCAATGTTGGAGATGAGGACACAGTGTCATGCCATTGGCTATGAAAATACCCGTGCCCAGATCTGCTGCTCTGCCTCAGAGCTCGGCGACGCTGAAGCACTTCGATCTTTGGCCTCCAAAATCCCTGGTGTGACCGTGTGACCTTGGGAAATCATGGATCATGGGGAATCTATAGGAAAGCATGGATTTTGCCATGGTCTTTGCCAGCCAAAACGAGGGAGAGGGAGAGGGAGAGGGAAGGGAGAGGGGAGAGGGGAGAGGGAGAGAAGAGAGAGAGAAGGAAGAGAGAGAGGAGAGAAGGAGCGAGAAGGTAAGAAGAGGAAGAAGAGAGAAGAAGAGAGAAGGAAGAGAGAGGGAGAGAGAGAGAGGAAGAGAGAGGAAAGAGAAGGAAGAGAGAGAAGAGAGAAGAGAGAGAGAGAGAAGAGGAGAGGAGAGAGAGAGAGAGAGAGGAGAGAGAGAGAGAGAGAGAGAGGAGAGAGAGAGAGGAGAGAGAGAAGAGAGAGAGAGAGAGAGAGGAGAGAGAGAGAGAGAGAGAGAGAGAGAGAGAGAGAGAGAGAGAGAGAAGGAAGAGAGAAGGAAGAGAGAAGGAAGAGAGAAGGAAGAGAGAAGGAAGAGAGAAGGAAGAGAGAAGGAAGAGAGAAGGAAGAGAGAAGGAAGAGAGAAGGAAGAGAGAAGGAAGAGAGAAGGAAGAGAGAAGGAAGAGAGAAGGAGAGAGAAGAAGAGAGAGAGAGAGAGAGAGAAGAGAGAGAGAGAGAGAGAGAGAGAAGGAAGAGAGAGAAGGAAGAGAGAAGAGAGAAGAGAGAGAGAGAGAGAAGAGAGAAGAGAGAAGAGAGAAGAGAGAAGAGAGAGAGAGAGAAGAGAGAGAGAGAGAGAAGAGAGAAGAGAGAGGAGAGAAGAGAGAGGAGAGAAGAGAGAGGAGAGAGAGGAGAGAAGAGAGAGAGAGAGAGGAGAGGGAGAGGGAGAGAGAGAGAGAGAGAGAAGAGAGAGAGATCTTACGGAAGAGAGAAGGAATGAGAGAAGGAAGGAGAAGGAAGATGATGAAGGAAAGAGAAGGAAGAGAGAAGGAAGAGAGAAGGAAGAGAGAATGTAAGACGATGGGAGGAAAGGAAGGAGAGAAGAATAGAGAAGGAAGCAGAGAGGGAAGAGAGAAGGAAGAGAGAAGCGACAGAGAGGAAGGAAGAGAGAAGGAAGAGAGAAGGAAGAGAGAGGGAATAGAGAGGGAAAGAGAAGGAAGAGAGCAGGGAAGAGAGAGGAAAGAGAGAAGGAAGAGAGAAGGAAGGAGAGACAGGGAAGAGAGAAGGAATAGGAAAGGAAGAGAGTAACGGAAGAGAGAAGGAAGAGAGGAGGAAGAGAGAAGGCAGATAGAAGGAATGAGACTAAGTTAAGGATAGATTAAGAGAGAAGGAAGAAGAGAAGGTAAGATATAAGTAAGAGATGTAATTAATATATAATTAATATAATTAATATATAATTAATATATAATTAATATATAATTAATATATAATTAATATATAATTAATATATAATTAATATATAATTAATATATAATTAATATATAATTAATATATAATTAATATATAATTAATATATAATTAATATATATTTAATATATAATTAATATATATTTAATATATAATTAATATATAATTAATATATAATTAATATATAATTAATATATAATTAATATATAATTAATATATAATTAATATATGATTAATATATGATTAATATATGATTAATATATGATTAATATATAATTAATATATAATTAATATATAATTAATATATAATTAATATATAATTAATATATAATTAATATATAATTAATATATAATTAATATATAATTAATATATAATTAATATATAATTAATATATAATTAATATATAATTAATATATATTAATATATAATTAATATATAATTAATATATAATTAATATATAATTAATATATAATTAATATATAATTAATATATAATTAATATATAATTAATATATAATTAATATATAATTAATATATATACACACAAGTATTATATATAATCATATAATCATGTACGTATGTAACTTAGACAAGGGAATCATGAATCCTTTTTTCCCCCTTGTTTTTCCTTTCACCAACTCTGGGAGCACTTGATGGTTTGAAACCGGGGTAAATGGTCCCGAGGTTCAAACCTTAGGTTGAACCTGGTTCAAGATTTGGAAGGAACAGTCGGTCGTAGCGTCACGAATTATCAGTGAATGTTTGAAACTGTTCACTCTGCAATCAGGTAGTCCTAGAACCATGTAATTACCCAGCTACAACCCCATTGGAGTGATTGAAGACGTATTGGATCACATGGGGTTAACATTCGGCATGTTACAACAGTACAACATGGCCAAGTAGATGCCCGCCAAAACAAAAGTTTTTATTAATGGGTGGGGAACTTTCTTGGTTGTGTAGGTATTCCGAGATATTGCCATTTCTGGGTATACAAACTGAAGCAGTAAGTAGTAAATTTAGTAAATAATTATGATCTATCTACCTATCTATTTATCGCTATCGAACTATCTAAGTTGTCTATATCATGACTACACAGAATGTAAGCGAACCCGTGGTTCTCGGGGTTCTCCCAATGTCCGAAGCAGTTGGCAAGCCTTCTGCTCTTCCTCTTGGAGCCTTTACCGTTGTTGCGCCTGCGGAGTCGTGGTTGCGAAAAGACGCGGTTTTTTTCATTCCAAAGTGGTAAGTACCAGGGTCATCCATTAAAAAATGGAAAATTAAGTGGAATCACTAACTTAAGATGAGTGCGGAAGAAAAATGTTGGTGCTATGCGAGAATCATGTTGACTCACCCCGCTCAAACTGGCATGAAAAATGGTTCTTTGAAATTGACTGCAAATTTCCGGTTTCTTTTGAGGTCTGCAATTTTTGATCATGGTGATGATGATGATGATAATGACGATGATGATGATGATGATGATGTCGACAATGATGATAATGATAATGATGATGGTGATGGTGGTGGTGGTGGCGGCGGTGGTGGTTTGACAGCAAATTCCCACAACATCATGTAGGCACACAAATAAATAAGGTCGATGGAATGGCCCTGTTGCAAAAATAAACAAACAAAACATGTCAAACACAGTTGGGACCCTGTTCGCCTTAAAATATACATTTTTTACACTGATTCACTCCACATGCAGAAATGCTGTGTTTGCAGACCGTCACTTGATTTTTTTAGTTTAGGATGTTTTTGTGGCTGAAACCCCGAATTATTTGTCGTTGTAAATCTAGCCTAGCAATCGGAAATGGGACTCGAATTCCAGAGTGCAAAAACATTGCCGCTGACATCCAAAACCACCCAAGTGACATCCAATTCCCGATCGATGGGTCTGATTTCAACCCAATAACAAAAGTGATTTTACAACCCACATCGAAGCGCACCTCACACAATAGTTTTCCATTGTTATAAGCAAAATTTGAGCCACGTGCCTGCAAGGTCAAAATGTTTTGGATGGTTTAAAAGATGGTGACAGTGACAATGTAAATTGGCAGATTTTTCGAACAGGTTCGTACCCCAATTCAAGAACCATTTTTGTTCAGAACCATGTTTTTGTTTTGCAACTACGCCATGAGTCGGCCGGATGACAGCCATTTGATATCATAATTTTTGTGAAATTGAAGTGGCCAAATTTTTTTTGAACAAATTTGCCAGATTTTCCCTGTTCGTTTTTCCTTCCGTGGAATCCAAGGCCATCACAAAAATCAGTATCCCAAACAAAAAGTTTTGAGTCTGTGGAACCAGCGTTGCCAGATCTAATTAAGGCCATGCCCCGATTGTAACATGACGGTTTTCAAAAAAAATATATAATTCAAACCATTGCTAATTTGATATGGCGCCATGTTTCCGGTTTAGTTGCATCCAATGTTTGTCTCAATGTCGATTGTCGACATGAATGCATAATTCAAAATTATAATTAGATTACATCCTGTTTTGCATGATGCAAAGACAACGGGTGCAATGCGGCAGCGGGCTTTTGAGCACACAAAAGCGCCTGAAGTACATGGATGGATTCACCATGTATGAGTGAGATTGCAACTGAATGGTTCTCGATTTGTGCGTGTCATCCTTGTGCAGAATCACTGTGAACTGTCATGCAAATGTCTCAAGATGCACGGGACAACTCAAATGCCGCGCACCCTTTTCCTGATTGCTTCAAGCCACTTGTCACGGAGTTACACTTCTGAATTTGTGCTGTGTCATCCAAACAGCAAGGCCATGCTAATCTTCTCTGTACTGTTCCAAGTGACAACTGGAGACCTTTGAACCTGCCTTGATTCCATTAACTAAAATGTGACACCCCACCTTGGTAGGGATTTTGGAAGAAATTCCTGCCACATATCGTTGTGCAAACTCTTGTTCCATGCAATTTTGGTCCATTACCAGACCCTGTGCTATGCAATTTCTCGAATTGGGTCTCCAGGCACATTGGAAAAAAAATTATCCGTCCTCACAAGTTTTGGCTCTTCCACTCATGCGATATCCATCAGAGCTTCAACTTCTTCAATTGTTCGACTAACGTTTGCTGCCTCTTCCCAATTTCCGTGAATAGCAGCGTTGTTGTATCGATCTCGGAGAGTTGCTCTGGCGTTGATCAATCGCTGTAAATTGTCATTGGCATAGTCGACCATTCGGGCATGTTGATCTGCATCCCAATGGCCGTGATGAA